CTGTGGTTACACTGGCTCATATACTCTCTCGTAATCTAGTTATCTATTTATTTATTCATCTAGTCAGTTTGTCAGAAAACTTAGTTAATTTACAACTGTATATTTAAGCGACTGGTAGTGTCATGGATATTTTACTCTTCTTTCCTTCTTGCATTTTATCTTATACAAATAAAAATTAAACATTTTCATTAAAAAAAAAAATAAATAAAAATAATGATCGATTATTAAACAAAGGAAACGCTTTTAAAATAAAAAGTTTCCCCCCACCTCTATTAATGTAAACATCATTCACTGTGGTATTGCCACATTAAATTTATATAAACATATTATTTACTTTACAGAACTCGACATATGTTTATATGGATATCTTGCTTTCATAGATCGATTTTCGTCTGTGTTGTTATAACTGGACGTCGTTAGATGCGAATTTTATGAACATAAGTAACTGGGTACTTAAGAAAATATATAGGAACAAATGGATATATATTTATAAGAAGCAACCGATGCATGTCAAATAAATAATCAATTTCGAGTCTTGTGATATGACATAATGTGATCAGATAGACCCAGACTTTTGGGAATTTTTGTGGTGAGGAGGTTGCTTCAGCAAGTTTCTAGGAACATCACAATAATAGCTACTCAAAATTAAACCACGCAATAAAAATACTTCACCAGTTGATTGTTATATATATATATATATATATATATATATATGAGAAACCGGCATTTTTGTCTGTAGTCAAAGAAAAAAAATACAATACAAGAGAGAAAAAGAGACAATGCTTTAAAGTACACCTTTTCTTCGGAATTGACTTGTTTCGTGCCGATATCAATTCACAGCGCACCTGTTTTCTTTATTAATTTTTTTCTTTTTTAATTTTTATATTATTTCTTAATAATTTTACTAGCTCCTGTGTTGAGCTAATTTTAATTTCGTAGGAAGGTCCATTCTATTACTATATTATAAAATGAGCTGATTTTGTCCGTCACAACATCTGCGCATGTTCTTTTTTGTTTTTTTCATATATGTTTGTAATATATGTGTATGTCTGTGTCGTGTGTGAGCGACTTACTTGTGTCATTTAATGTACGCACACATATTCACGCACAATTTGACTGATTTTTAAATAAGATTTAGGAATAATACAGTTTTCTCAGTTTGGAAAATCCCTATCCTGCTTTTTAGCAATAAAATCAAAGATGAAAAGAAAAATCAATTATTTTAAGCACATTAAAAAGAATCAGATAATTACAACAGTTTACTGAACTTTTCGAAAATTATTTGGTAATAAATACTTATTTTTCAAAGTTTTTAATTCTATAGAAATATTAGTTAGCCATTGGTAATATTCATGCGCCCAGGCAGACTTAAATATATACAATTTGAATGAAACTGAAATGCACATCTGTTATGCAAGAGGGTAATTTCCCCTCCGTGTAAACAAGAAAAAAAAAGTGTAAAATGCACTGCCCTTTCTATTTATTTCTACGAGTCCTCATATTTTCCAATATTTTAAAAGGACAAACAATTTAGATTTGAAATTTGATTATCTTGACAGTTTACAGACACATAAGGAATAAATTTGAACTGACCAACAAATAAATATTGATAAAAAAAAACAACCCAAACAATGTATAAATAAAAAGTAGCATTTAAAAGATGACCGAAGAGACAAGTACTGAAGCTTCCTATAACATTTAAAACTACTGCTGCTTCAGCTTCTACTACTACTTTGTAGTTAAATGCCTTGTCTTTTCAGGAGGCAGGTCATAGCAGTCCACGGTTTCCTTTCTCCACAAATTTCAACAAGGAGTTGTTTTTCTCCTAGACTGGTTGCCATCCAAAACTTGAACCCTGTTATTTAATATATAGCAGAAGGGAAAAGTAGTGGATTCGTACCTTTCCTCAGAGAATTAGTGTTAACTAACATAACAGGTTCGAATTAGAACTCAGTATGCTGTTTTCCTTTTCCGCTACGATATCAGTTGTTACCCGCACATTTACTACGACTCCTACTAATATAATAATAACAACGATGATGATAATAATAGTGCCAAAAACAAAATCGAAACGGAAGGGATTTGAACTTCGAAAAAGAATTAAAACTGAAAGTATGAGAGAAAGACAATACTGAGAAAGTTGGGGGGGGACTTGTATGTTAGTATTCGACAATCATCTTGCGTCATTATATAGGCCCATATTTCGCTAGTGCAATGAGTTCAGTATTGATAGGTTGCGTCCTACTGTGCTATAAATATGAGTTTCTGTAGTAGGCCTACCGTAGCACAGTTGTGAATAAGCTAGCCTCGCAGAACAATATTTTAACGTCGTGAGTTCGATCTTTACTGGTTGCCGCCATTGGCCAGACTAAAGAAAGATTCTCATAGAACTGAGATTTTGTGCACGTACTCCATGATTTCTCAGATACGAGGAAAAAGCAAAAATAAAAAAAAGTAAAAAAAAAAATAAAACAAATGAAAAAAATTAGCATAACAGGAATTAGTATTACACATTGAATTACTGATTAATATATTGAGGATGCAGAGGCTGAATAAACTGAAGAATTTATAAAATTTTATGTTTAGTATAAATTAAATACCAGAAGGTACTAATTCAGCAGGCTACATGGAAAGTTAACCAAATTATTTTATCAACGGTTATTCAATTTCGTGTCAATATATAGAATTCTTTGAAATTGTAAAAAGGTGAGAGTATCGATCCGTAAAGATTAACGACAACCAAGACATGATATTCTACTGTCGTTAGTGAATACAGTACGCACAACACACTGTCGTAAATTCAACAACGGCAAAATTACGAGGCGTGGTTGTTTGTTCGCATATAATATACACAGTACAAAACACCTCCGTGCGGCCGATTGAACACGCTTACATATAGCGCTGTGTATGATTTAGAGGGGGACTCTATCAGGGTTCCAGATGAAAAATCGGATCTTGAGGCGCGGATGTCAAGACAAATGGGTTGGGTAGCAGACAAAGACCGATAACATAGGCTGACCGGTCTGTAGATCTGTAGTCTTTAATATATTCGTTCGTGTTATGAAGCCGGCCGTTGGAAAGGAAAAAAACAAAAAACTATAAAGATTCTGCTTTTGATTGTCCATTTCTTTCTAGTTTTCCAATTTTCATAGAACATAGTAGTAGTTGTAGTAATGCTATTAATGTTTTAGTTTCTCCCAGCTGTTCAGAAGGCATCCAACCTGGCGTCTGAAGATCCAAACGCAGACGATACAAAAGAATTTTTTTTTTTAAATATGCCGTACACATTACTTTTGAAGGACGCATTATAAAAAGAAATTGGAAAATATAATGATAAATCGAATTTCGGTCAATAAATATTAAAATCAGCTGTTTTTAAAGATACACCTATTTAATTTATACCTTTATTAAATTCGTTAATAATGGTAATAAATGTTTTAGATCAAATGTTGGAACTCAAAGTAACCGAATAACTTGAATTGTCTTTATTGCTATCATTATTATGCTGATAAAAAAAGAAAATAACTAGGAAAGCAATGGATAGAATTTTCGGAGAGGGATATTTATCGACATATGCCAGTTGCAACACTGTGTGCGTATATGTGTAGAGAGAGAATAAATAATAAAAAAAAAATGGAAAAAGGAAAAGTAAAAATAAAGGTAAAAATTCTAGATTCTATTTTATGACTTTCTCTGTCTCGTGTTGAAGTTGGTGTGCAGTTGTAACGTTTCGGGGTGGGGGTTCGTTTGTTTCGTAAGAAAGAAAAATTAAAAGATGATGTTTGTATGGCGACCAAAGAACGTCTGGGCAATATGAACCACGTTGCAAAGTGAAAGCACAATGTTAATTTGAGAGTCGGCTAAACAATAAACAAAGCAAGCACACACACAGATACACGTAGACAAGGCGCTGTTGAAAAGTTCTCGGCCTGGCAAAGATGGGATTCCGAAATAAATTCGGATTTTTTTTCTTTTTTTATATTGGGGTGATTTGATTAGGTTTTTAGAAGTGGGTCGGACCGAGAATTTTTCTTCACCCTCACGTAAAAATAATTTGTGGCGATTGTGTCACAGATGGTGGGCGGTGGTGTACGACTATGAACTACTGTCTTTTTACAGTACACCGATTTAGGAGTGTCGTACTTTATAGCAGTAGTAGTAGTGGAAGTAATAATTTGTTGTTAGTAGCGGTAAATATGCAGAAAGAAAAAAAAATAGTAACAAATAACGAACAGAATAGAAATTAACAAATGCAATATAAAAATGAAAGATGTGAATGGCGAGGTAAAAGTGGGGAGAGAAAGTCGGTAGTAGGCAGGGACGAGTGAGTGAGTGAGTGAGTGAGTGAGTGAAAGAGAGAATAAGTGAGTGAGTGAATCAAAGAAAAAAAAAACGGAGAATATGGAAGACGAACGGACACAATGTAAGCGGAATATTACAAGATAAACAAGAGAGAATTGATATGAATGAATGAATGGAAAGAGGAGAAAAGGGAGAAATTGAAAGAGAGTCATGAGAAACGAAACATTTTTTCTTAAAAAAAAAATTTTAAAAAGAGAGAGAGTTTAATCGTCATGGTGGTGGTGGGTGTAAGGAACGCGGAAATTTTTAAAGACGTGAAGAAAGCAAGCTCGTACTGCTATCCAGTGAAAGAGGACCAGAAGCGAACACAGAGACAAACAAAAGAAAGGCTAGGGCAGAAGAGGTTTTTTTTTCTCTAAACCAAAATCAGGCAGTGGTTGGTACGACTACACCGGCAGTTATGCGCTCACAGTATATTTCAAAACGAAAAAGATGAGATACGCGTCGTCATTACCTCATGATGGGGGCAATGCTAACAATGTTTTTTTTTTTTTTTAAACTAAGGAGGGATACGTTTTCTATTATCATCGACATCATCATTGCTACTATTATTGTAATTTAAAGGTTGTGATTTTTCATATTTTACCTCGGCTTTCGGACGTGCCTGTTGTTGGTGTTGGTGGCGCCCACCTCGTTTCATGACGCCCAGCGTTGCTTTTTTACTAATAATCTTCGCCGACTTTTTCATGGACGTTTTACGACCAGTGGCATTCCCTGGGAGGGAGGACATCGCTGCTAATGCACTGTTATCTCTTCCGTAGGCCTTCAGGGTGTAAGAATTGGGTGTTTTTTTTTTTTCACTTCTTTCCTCTACTCAGCTGTGTGAATGTGTATGCACAGTTCTAAGTAGACGTATGTGTGTATTTGTTAGGGGGTACGGCTCCGTGTGTTTAGTGTATTGGTGGTGGTGATAGTAGCCGGGGAAAATATTTGGGGGGAGAAGAGAAAAAAGATGTGGGGTGAGGAATTTTTGTTTGATCCTCCTCTTTTCGTTATCTTCCTATGCTTTTTTTATTGGTATAATTTTTGCTATGAGGTACAATGCGTTTATCATTTTCTGTTTGTTCGTATTTTGGAGAGTTCAGAATGTATCTTATTCAAGGAGAGTAAGGTTTATCGTTCACTTAGGAAAGTGGTGGTTGGATGTAGACTAGGCTGATTAGTGTATTGTTAGTTAAGTGAGGTGAGGATCTGTATCATTTATAAAACTATACTTTCCTGTTGACTGTATTTCTATACTTTATACTATACTTTGTTATATATAGAATTATAGATTCATCAGATTCAGTTATTTTTTTTTGTAATTGTTTCTTTATGAATATTAAAAATTTAGTGTTTTGTGTCTCACTAAAGATCGTACGTTTCAATTTTTAACACTTATTACTCCATATGCAAATATAATTTTAAAACTGTGTTGTTTATAAATACAATTATTTACATCTACAAAACATAGTAAAAGTCTATACGTATGTATATCTTTAAATTATAAGATTGTAAAACTATTCTATGTGTGCGTGGGTGCGTGACAAGGTTTCCTTTTTGTTTAGTTTGTTTTTCTGTTTTGTTTTGTTGGTGTTTATAGATAATTAAAAAAAAAAACCCTTCCGTATTTTCTCTTAGGGGGGAATCTTTCCGTCCACTCCTCACTGCTCTGTGTCCAGGCGTACACTCCTCCTCCTCCTCCTCCTGTTTAGCCGGTTCTGCCCTCTCACTCTCACCCACATGCTACACCCTCCCTCTGTCTCTCGGTGTGTCTCTCTACCCCTCCCACGTTTACCCCCTTCCTTTTTTTTTCTTTCTTCTCTTCTTGTGCTTGCCCTCCTGCAAGTCTGCTTGCCTCACCTTGTGACGCTTTGCCTCACACGTATGCTCTCTTTCGCCCCCACCAGCTAGGCATACATTTTGCGTACCTTACTCTCCCAGCACTTTGCATCATCATCACTATTATTATTATTATTATTATTACTACTACTACTACTATTGTCATTATTATTATCATCAGCATTTATTTGGTTTCCGGCTGCCTCGATTGTCCAAAATGGTATGAATAAAACCGCATTAATCTTAGTCGGCACACGCACATGAAAGGGGAGAGATGGCAAAAATATTACTTTGTTGATCACTGAGTTTGTTAACCAAGTTAGAAATTGGAGCGGTGCAGTACGAGGCTTTTGGAGTATATAAAGCTGCTCTGCTTCTTCGAGATTGTTATTAAATATAAAAAAAGGAACAGCAGAACAGGTTACCTGAGAATATGTGCCATAATGAAATAAAAATACAAATGTTTGTGTGTGCAGCAAGAGAGAAATTATGCATGTCACAGTCAAGTAAATTGGTTAATTTAATTTTTTTTCAAAGAAAATTTTGATCAGAACTTTTCAAAACATACATTCTCTATAGTCATTAATGATGACATGATGACAATGAAATACATATATATATATATATATATATATATATATATATATATATATTATCCGACATTTTTTTTTTTTATTATAAAGGTTAAAAAGATAAATGAAAATATATCTATAAAAACACGTGTACCTGTAAATGATGTTTATAGTATTATATGTCTATGTGATAATTTGTCTCAGTTTCATCCGCGGCCATAAATTTATGAAATGTATTTTGATCTGACATGTTCACTATATAATGTTTGATCAATCTGAATAATATTTACGCCTAAATTAAATATATTGAAAAGGAAGGACATTATGTTAAAAATATTTGTTGCGTAAAATAAAGTTTAATTTACTAATATATATATATATATACACGTAGGAGCTTGTATATATATATATATATATATATATATATATATATATATTTATATATATACACGTAGGAGCTTGTATATATATATATATATATATATATATATATAGAGAGAGAGAGAGAGAGATAATGACACGTACATATATACACCCACATATATAGAGAGATATGTACATGCATATATATATACTACACATATATAAGAAATTGTATATATATCACATATATATATATATATATATATATATATATATATATATATATATATATCCAAATGTAATGAGAAGTAAAAGAATATGAATTCAAACGTTCATAACATTTATTTTGAAAAAGGGCTCAATACAAAAAATATTTGTTGCGTAAAATAAAGTTTAATTTACTAATTATATAATATATATATATATATATATATATATATATATATATATATATATATATATATATATATATATATATATACCTATACATCTGTATATACACATACATATAATTTGAAATATAATTCCACATCGGCATTTCTACAGAGTGTTATAGATAGGCATATGTATTTCTTTATTTAATATTTACATAGAAAATATAATTTCCCATATTTTGTGTGTATACATAATTCTTTCATTGTGTGTGCATGTGTGTATATAAGAAATTTTATCAGTATGAATATATGTGCAAAAAATACACATTCATGGGTAAGGAAAGTACACTTCTTGTCATTTATGACATTTTCTGACATATCCAAAAGACAATCCTGAAGAACGTTAATAATCACTGAGATTCATAAAGAGTAGGATGTATATATATATAAAAATATTCACATACGTAGACACGTACAACAGATGTCTGTCAAACGAACTCAAAATTTATTCTCTTCTCAATGTAACTTCCCCGAAAACACACGAAATATAATGTATTCTTGTGTTTATTCGGTAGTTTTTCTAGTAAAAATACTGTAATGATATGATAATCCGCTTCATATATATATACATATAAATGAATGATTGTATAAGGAACAAGCCGGAAAGCCTCCATAAATATAACATATCTCGTAATGTATTTAGCTTCAAATATTTTTAGGGTGTGGTGGGGGTAGAGAGGAGAATAATGTAGAGTTGCTTCCCAAACATTACAGCTGAAATGTATGAATACACGTGTCTCTCCCTGTATATGGGTTAAATACCAGGACAGTCCGTGATCTGTAGGTTTAGTTGGCAGCCAATCTCGGAGAAGAAAAACGCTGAATTCAAAACCGTAAGATGTCCTGGCAAAACAGTTACAAACGAAACTAAGGAAAGGGTTGTGGAATTGACTATGATCTCGACTACAGTCAACTTCCTTTTCATTCTCCTATTGTTCTTTATTTATTTTGGTCAATTTAATTCATATCTCCCGCCATATATATATATATATATATATATATATATATATATATATATATAATTCCACACAGTTATCAAAGAAATACACTACTCCCATTGACCCGAACCAAAAAAAAAAAAAAAATAAATAAATATCAAATTATCTACTACAAAAGTTTTAAACACTTAACCTTATCCTCAAAAATAACAACCCACCAGCAAATCAAAATTACAACAAACTAACATTATTTATGAGTTCTTATGCTCCTTAAGGAACAGCGTTCCTGATCAAAACGAATTCATAAATTACATCGGTCATACGACTGCATGCCAAATAGACACCTTACCTTACACCTATCTGACAACAGCTCTATTAGAACCCATTGAAACAAACAAACACACACAAACTTACCAAACTCTATCCAAAACCTACTAGTAGAAAATACAAACGTAATAACCTCATTCAAATGCAAAAAAAAAAAAAAGATTAAAATAATGGAAGCCTTAATAATAATAAATAATGCCAACACTCAATATTAACTACGAACACGGCCACAATATGCTAACTGTGTTCGGAAAATAAAACATCCCTATAACTCTAGAAACATACACACAACCCATACACCCAATTAAAAAGCAAAAATAAAATCATCCTTGATAATGGCTAAAAGTATTGCCGAAAGCGCTCGGAATTACAGAACATTTGGACAATTTCTACACACTATGTCCAGAAAAGAAAACATTTGTTCGAACACAAGGAAAATTAAATAAAATGCTTAATCGTAGTCTGTCGTCTTTAATGAAACATTATATAATATTTAATGAAACGTTATATAACATTTATTTAAGCTAATAACGATAGGTCAGACAGTACATTTAAAGTTTGACTGACATATGGGGATAACAAAATCAAACAGGTTTATATATTTAAATATATTGGTAGTGTAAAAACAAGCCCCGGAATATTTGATACAAAATCAGTAGGAATAGCGAAGGATGTTAGAGTAACTATATATGCAAGTCCTGTTTACTGCTTTCTAGAGTGTAGGGACATAACCTCAACTGGCTAAGTGATGTTGCTGTGGTTTCAGAATCATGTCAACCGTAAGCCCCAAAACAGATTGAAAACATAAGAAAAAAAACTAGCCTTAAGAAATTTGAGAAAGAGTAACAAATAAAAACAGTTGATGGACAAAAAAGATAATATTTAAAGGTGGCAGTGTTGCGAAATGGTGCTGAATATAAAGTCATGTAAGTAACCAAACTATCATCTTAAAAATCAACACAGAGACCCGTGTAAGTTTTGGCAAAAATTAAACGAACACTGATTTGCCAACAGTAATTTATAGCGATAAACGAAGTACTACGATTCATGTCCTTTATAGTTGGTCGAGAGTTAGATATAGTCAACCAACATGATCTAGAAAACAAGATGGAGTTGGAGCAATATTTTGTGTTGGCAGTGAATGCTGGACAGATGAAGAGACCAGAGGTAATGGAAATATAGTTCTATACTGAGAATAGCATGAACAAAACATGTAAGCAACGACGAAGTTTTAACAAAATGGAAACAAAAAGGACACTTATCGTTAGGAGACAGTTGAAATTTCTAGGACACATGAGGAACGAAAATTTAATACTCACAGTACATATTAAAAGGAAGATCGATAAGGGAAACCAAGAAACAACTGGCCTAATGAGTTAGTGTAAATGGTTAGTAGAACAGGGTTTGGGAGATATGGCGAAAAGACAAATTTTGCTAAGTGTTACAAAGGACAGGACATTGTAACGAATCATGATTACCATGGAGACGGCACATAGGATATTTTAGGAATTAGAATTATACACTCCTTCGGAATTGGAGTCAAAATAACTTTATTAATTTATTAACACTGTGATGGCTCTATAAATATTTTCATACAAATTGTTCTGGTGAGTTAACTAGATTTTATGGATTTAAGCGTAGATTGGTGGCTAGCTCTAATTTTACAAATGAAATGGCTAGATGTAATCGCAAGTTCTATGCTAACAGTTTCTTCTCTTGTACTTCATCCTTATGAAATTATTTCCCGGCTTCTTCCAGTCAACTTTGATCTTCAAAAATTTAAATGCAATGTTAATGTTCTGTCTACTTAATTCATGTTCTTTTATTGTTCTCTCTCCTTAATAATGATTTCTTTTGTTCATATTCTCTCACACTCAGTAACCCTTGTGTCTTAGGGACTTTATAGCCTTGCTCGGGGGGAAATGGTAAAAAAGACTTATTCGAAGCTTATGAAAATTTCGTCTTTGATTGATAACAGTCAAAACTAGAATGCTTCAAAGTGAAGAGTATATTAATGCAAGACAATGCTCTTTCCTATTTTGCATAGATATTTATTGCCCACCTTGCCATGAAATATTTCAACTACACCAGATAAAAGCAATTAGCCCCTGCCTCTCTAGATATTAATTCAGTGAAAAATGTAAACAGTATTTAAGCAAAGATGATCTCTGGGAATAAATAAAATCTGCTGAAAGTAATGTTAAAGTTAAACAAGTAGAAAAAATAGCATAACCAATATATAAAAGATTGATATAGTGTTTTAAAACATTCAAGAGCTATATATATATATATATATATATATATATATATATATATATATATATATATATATATATATATATATATATATATGAGTTTTAACCTCTGTGTGTCTGTTATCGAACTCCTCCTAGGTTTTTGGAGATAGACTCCCAGTAACCATATGTATTCTGAAAATACATTACCCAGTACCCTTGGATAAGTATATTTCATTTTGATTAAAAGGGGGTCCTCGGGGGAACACCCCATCACTGAAAATGTTTCCCCTTTGCTATAAATTAAATTTCAATTTGAACAATGGTATAACTTCTATTCAAAATATAATAAAGTCAGAAGATTGAGGTCACATCGGCAAGAACAAAATGAGACAAGATGGACGTCAAATTGAGCAAGAAATCACCAATGAGTATATAGTGTCTTACAATATATATTTGTTGCGACAATTCAATTGTCGTATCAATGGTGAAATCTAATCATCAATTAATTCAATCAACTATTGCATCAAATACGTATCCAAGGGGTAAGATCAAGCTGTCTTTGCACAAACACCCACTTAATTTTTTCCTTTGTTTGAATGACTCCTATGCAAAATACAATAGAAAGCCAGAAAATGGAGGACAGATCGGCAAGATTATTGACTAATAATGAAATGCATAATTTTTTCTCGACAAATTATAACAATGATTTAAAATCATTATTTTCTTACAAAAAATGTGTGACATGAAGCAAGGCGCAGGTATTTCGGCTAGTGTGTGTATATAATCATTTCACCTCCCCCCTCACCAAGCAAGGCGGGAATACCACTAATAATCAGGGTGTTACAAGGAGTGAGAGAAGAGAATGAGTATAGGGAGGATTGAGGAAAGGACAAAAAATGAACGGGTTCAAGAAGACAGAAGATGGCGATTGACGTTGAGTATAGTTATCAGGGAAGCAAGTAAATGGAAGGGAGTTCCACAGGCGGGAAGTGCGAGAAAAAAAAACTTTTGGAGTCTTAGTGGCGGTTGCATTTAGCTATTTCAACAGTAAACGTGTGGGAGCTAGATGCCAATCTAGTAGCACGTTTAAATTCATGTAGTCGGGACACCAGGTTGGGGGAATGGTCGTCAGAGCAGTTTCCATGTAAATATTTGTAGAAAAGACAGAGGGAAGCCACGTCACGTCGGTGAGAAAGTGACTGAAATCGAGATGCCAAGTCAGGATCGATTATATTACAGATCCTTCTTTGGATTATATTCACTGAATATATTTACATATAAGGAATGTGATGTTTCTATAGCTTTATTCAAATTTTCACTTTGCAAATTAAAATCTGAATTCTGATTTTCTGGGATGAATAGTTACAATTTGCATTATTTCAATTTGGACTAATGTCTTTATCATCATCATGAAGTTTGTCCTTCGATCTTCTTCCGATGTCAGTCGATCGGGATAACTTTAAAGGAATTTCAAACTAAACCCTTTATTTAATCTGCAGTAATAGATTGTTCTCGTCCCGCTGACAATATATATATCGTTTTGTTCATCTTTAGTACTACGCAGTTACAGTGAGTCAAGTTTTATCGAGATCAAGTCAGGGATTGAACCTTTAATTATTACGCCACCAAACTGATGAACCAACGTTTTAACCAGACTATAAATAAACCGATTATAATTATACTTATCCATCCCTTCGTTTGTTCGCACAACGGTTCCACCCGTCCTATACCCCATAATAATAGACTATTCAGTTTTGCGCGTGCGTAAAAAGGGCAACATACATTACTTGGTTTCAGTGAGAAAATAAAATAGTGAAGATAGAAGTGTTTAATGGCCGTTTCAGTGGAATAGAAAAAGTTGTCAAGTTGAAATATTTTCATGTGTTCCCGCTTAAAATAACGACTAGCATTCATATTTATGATTGTTATGTAATATTTCTTTTTAAAGTTGTTAAGCTCAAATATTTTGAATATTGATGCTATAAGGGAATTTCTACGGAGAACTCGGCATGATCTTATTCAATAATTAACTTAAGAATTAAGTTTGATGAGAAAATTAGAATAGGAAAACCATGCAATTTTTGCGGATTAAAACTAATGTAAATAAATATATCTATAATAAGATTATACACAGTGTCCATAAATTATCGGTACAACTTTCACATTTTATCCTGTCTACAGAGTTATTAGAGTTAAAAATCCATCAATACACTTCTTTGTATGTTAAAGAAATACTACGAAAGTTTTAATTTATATATGATTTATTCTTTTTTTTATTTACTTTCATTTGTATTTTCAGGTAGATATTAAAAGGTTCTTATTATCGATCGGTGACATTTAAACTTTATCACTATGTATGCGATTTCATTTGCTGTACAAAAAGGTTTTATCCTGCCATTGAATTTATTTGGATTTCATAGTTATGTTGTCAATATCCTGCTATAGCAACAGTAAACAAAATTGAATGAAATTAATAAGGATACTGTAATTGAGAGACCTTGAATAGAATACACTGGAAAGAGGAGTAATATTAATAAATGCAGAGTACTAAAGCTTAATGATAATGACAATACCGTAAAGAAAAACGTAATGTGTATCTAGGCTCATAGAAACCAAATCGGGCGCTAAAGTCTAGCGGAATTTAGACCACAAAGTATGAAAAAAGACACCTAGTCTAATTACCATCCATGCTAGACACAAGAAGTTTATGGAAACAGGAAGTGTAGTGTTGCAGCTTAGCCCAGACATCAGGTATGTTCTCAGCGTTTCTTCCGGTCAAACGCTCGTGGCTTAAAATCAACTTTTTGGCCAGATCGCCACCCACGAAATAAAACCATGAACCGATTGCAGCAGTACGCAAATTTTATTCAGGTTGTAACCTTCTGCTATACACAAGCGAATCATAGATGAAGCGAGATGGAAGGAGGTGAACACTCTAACGGGTGTGTCTTCCCTTTCGCGTCGCAGCGAGCGGTTTCTCAGTGGTCCCTGGCGGCGAAAAATGGTCTTATAGAGAACAGGGTTCTTTGTCTTGTCACCTTTGTCTAAATTTATCAACACCCCAAGTTCTTCTTCCACTCAGTGACCTACTTTTTCAGGGTCGTCCGACATGTTTTCTTTACTTCATTTCCTTGACAATCGTCAAAGCAATAATTGTTTGAAACAGTTATTGAAATTTCAATAACATCTTACAAAAGTTTCTATTTAACAGCGTCTGACATCAATATCGCTACAGAAGTGTGTCGCAGAGAACAGAAATTGAGCTTCTTTTAAATGTGCCAAACCAATAGAGCCCATGTGGAAGTGTCTTATGTGTTTAAATAAATCATTGCTTACCTAGGTTTTTCCAATCCACCCCATCTCATTTTCCTTTCATTTATGAATTTTCAATATTTCACAGATAATTTAGGGACACCCTGTATAGTATAAGGTAAAACTAATACGCTCTATGGCTTATGTACATGAGTATATCCACAGAATTTTAACAACATCAGTTTGGTTAATACTAATTTTATTGTGAATAAAGGTGTTTTAATAACTTGGACCAATTTTAAATGTGAATTAAGTTTAAGTGTCTAATGATTTTTTCCTTCTTTCAAATTTAACAACTTAAGTCTTTGGCAATTTCAACCATAGAAAGATTAACAATCAAACAACGTGTTAAAGCTTCTTACGAAAATGGACGTTCAAACAGAATTTGAATGTGAAGTTTAGGTCGCATCATCTCCCGAAACAGCCACCATAATCGTGCGACTTGACGCCTTTAGATTTTTTTCTTTGGGGCCATCTCAAAAGTAAGGGGTATGCCAACAACTATTCAACAGCTGAAGGGTAAGATGTCATATTGGTTAGATCGAGGAGCAACTATGCAGAGACGTCATCAAAAATTTTGACCATCGAGTGGAGATGTGCCGCCGAAGACTTGACAGATATCTGGGCGATATTATTTTTCGCACATAACTGCCATGACTTAAATAACATGATCCAATAGAGAAATAAATAAATGTTCACCAATAACACTGATTTATTTACCGCTGACTTTGATCCGTCTTAATGAAACACCCTTTATATTAACTTGCATAATAAATATGATAGTGTCGCCATTATCTATACTCAGACAGACATTGATTTTTATGAAGCTGCAACGAACAGGCAAACTATTTCTTTGTGCCTAGAGGGAGTATATAAGGAACACCTTATAAAATACCAGCATGAAATATGCATATATGTGCACAACATACAATGCAGATAATGCAGACAAAGGCAATCATTTAAATTAAACAAATAAGATAACCAACACCGAAAATAAATTAGTAAAATAAACAAAAATATCTAAACAAATTAAGTCTGAAGTTATCACTACCAAAGAACTACAAATAACCACATATGGTTCCACAATTATTTCTACTCAATAGACTCTAGAATAATTTGAAATATAACCGTTACAATAATACATCAGACCTTACTACACATAATGTATAAATAGTCAAGCCAAAAATAGAAAAAAAAAGATATAGTCAAGCCAAAAAACAACACACATGACAAGAAGATTGCCTTCACGCATGAAACAGACTGTCGCCGCTCTTTGTTGACCTGAATGCGCACACACACACAAACACACATTATATATATTTTTATACACGTGTTTCCGATTTACTGACATTCATCAGGCAAAGAGTGGATATTTCCACATATTATTAAAAGAAATTAATTTTCCTTATGTTTTTCGATGTTTAACTATTGTCTTTTTTGTGTAGTAGTAACCCAAATATTTCTTCTTGGACCGGGTTCTTCTGCTTAAGGGGTAATAAAACAATTAGAATTGGTCAGAGAAAGGGACGAAGGAAGTATATCTATCTATCTATCTATCTATCTATCTATCTATCTATCTATCTATCTATCTATCTATCTCTCTCTCTATATATATATATATATATATGCGTGTATAAATTCTTACAACTACTACGACTGCAAAAATAGCTATATTCATTCCACTAAAGCATTTATCAGATGATGACCTAGGGGTCATTTTTGGTTCCGGAATAGAAGAATCATTCCCACTAACTTTAGGCTATCCAGCATTTCCTCGGGATGATATCAGATGTTATTGGTTTTATGTTACGGTGTGGGAAGGGAATGCTATATCCATACTTCTGTTAGATTTTGGATATATATTTTACATGCACGCAGAGAAGAGAGAGAGAGAGAGAGAGAGAGAGATTGAGAGATTGAGAGATTGATTTACGAAAACTAGCTGAAATTTTCACAACTCTCCTCACTTCCGAAAATCTTAGTAAATAAATATATATTTCTTGGCCAAGAACCTTTCAATACCTTCTCGTATACATTTTCGCACATGCACGCACGCACGAATGTAGCACTACGTGCACCGGATAAATACTACTGTGTGTGAATGAATACATACACACGTGTGTGGAAAATATGTCTAGATCTATAATCGAATGATAAAAGGTGTGACACGTTTCGCCCTAGAAAAACGTCCAGATTGTTAGAAGAAGTTCCGTTTCGGGACGAAACGACTTTTAAAGAGATGTCACCATATATACTAGTCATATATATATATATATATATATATATATATATATATATATATATAATCTCAATGCAGCTATAAACGTAGACACGTGAAAAAGAGAAATATCTCTTTATAAAGCGATATGATCAACAATATTTGTGTGGTCCCCTCTGTATACTTCTAACCCCTTCATACACTTGTTTATGTTATTTTTACAAACACGAAATAGCCTAGTGACACTACGGTTCTTTTCTCGGACCCTTCTCCTTTTTTTTTTCGTTGCCATCTGAACATTGGGTTAAGCATTTATATTTTTTGTTTCAATAATAATAATAATAATAATAACATGACCCGTGAAACTGTGTGCTACTGTCTCATTCGGCTGAATACAATAATGTCTCCCCACCCTTGTCAAATCTCCTGTTATCCCATTCTGTTTTGTCTGTCTCCCCAAACACAAAGGAATCACATGCGGAAACACCTACACAGACACGTTTGTAGGTATATTAGACACGCATATGTAATCGTTTTTTTGCATTGTGTGTTACAAGCGTTTGTTTATTTTTGTGTTTCAGTTGTTTTTCTTTATTTTACTGCAAGTATATCATATCTGTTAGATTTTATTGTTTCCTAGAGTTAGTGTGCTGAAATAAAAAAAAAAGTAGCTTCACTATTACTATTATTGTTGTTGTTGTTGTTCGAGAGAGAGAGAGAGAGTAGTATGCCAACTAAGTGACCCTGTAGTAAAAATAAATGAAGTTCTTATTTACCCACTATGGCACCCAGTCTAATAAGGGTATACCAGGTGCATGCATAACAGCCAAATACGCGGGATTTGGTAACAGCTTTTGATAAAAAAGCAGCACAATCTTGGGAATGGGACCCATTTGGAAATAGTTTCAGATTAAGTTACCCAGCCAGCTCACACTCCGACCGATGGTGACCTAAGATATCTAAATCTAACACCCAGGTAGTTTTGGGTGACTCATACTTAAAAAAATAAAAATAAATAATAAATAAAAACCCACCAAAATACGGCCATGACGCTCCAACTAATATTATTATTTCTGCTACTATAAATACTACTACTATTATTATTACTACTATTATAAATAATACTACTACTATTATATTATTATTAATACTACTATAAATACTACTACTATTATTATTACTACTATTATAAATAATAATACTAATATTATATTATTATTAATACTACTATAAATACTACTACTATTATTATTACTACTACTATAAATAATAATATTATTATATTAATATTATTACTACTACTATAAATAATAATACTATTACATTACTATTATTACTACTACTATAAATATTACTATTATTACTACTACATAACTATTACTACTACTACTATTATTACTGCTACTACGATTATTATTACTACTACTCATCCTCATATTTAGTAGTAGTTACAACTACGTTCATAATCCCCTTTCTAATCTAATTAATCTTTATTGTACATATGACAATATAATAATAATATATTTCTTTCACACACACATAATATAAAAGGCTCAAACACTAATATTCCATGGTATTAACATACATAGAGTATGAGCCTTTTATATTATATTCTTGCTCTGTCCTAGACATTCAGCTCTACCTGGATTCTATCCTCTTGGAAATATATATATATATATATATATATATATATATATATATATATATATATATATATTGACCACTAATATTATCAATATATATATATATATATATATATATATATATATATATATATATATTATTACTATATATATATATATATATATATATATATATATATATATATATATATATATATATATATATATGTAATATGTGAAAATATATAGAAAATAGGAAGGAACTTGTTAGGTAAATAATCCAATGTTCTTTAGTATTTTATTTATTATTTTTAAAAAAATAGTGCTCGATACAAAAGTAGAGCATAAATATAATTATTTATTTAAAAATATGATTCCAACTCGCGACATAAGAGGTCTCATGTTTCAAAAAAAGAGCCGAAAACTTCAATATAATTATTTGAATTAAATTGAGTTAAAGTAAGTTCTGTTCCATCTTCAAGCGAAATTTTTTTTTGATTCCAGTTCAAATAATTATATTGAAGTTTTCGGCTCTTGTTTTGAAACATGAGACCTCTTATGTCGCGAGTTGGAATCGTATTTTTTAAATAAAATATATATATATATATATATATATATATATATATATAAAGTATAGTCCTAAGGTGTGCTATATTTATGGGGTAAAGTGCTCAATATCAGAGATAGAGCGTGTGTAAATATAAAAGTGAACATTGAAGTCAACACTTGGAGCCGACAGTTTGTTTCATGTTCACTTTTTATATATATATATATATATATATATATATATATATATATATGATAACGATATATTTTTATATATCAAGAACAGTTTTGGAGGGAAGATGTTTGACAAAGCAGAGAATTTTTCGTCTGACACGTTTCGATAAAGTCCTATGAGACAAAACGCGTCACACGTTAACCTTTTTCTTTCTTGATATATATATATATATATATATATATATATATATATATATATATATATATATATATATATATATATAAGACGAAATGACCACGTACGCACACCCCTAGAAAACAAAACAACCTAATAATAACATTCCAATTAACGCATAAATTATTTACTTCAAACGTCGTATAACAATAACGAAAAATGAAAAAAATCCGCAGTCAACCGTGAAAACCTCCTGATGAGTGGACTGAACGATCAAGGAAAAAGTTCTTGTACAAAACTCCGGAGATGCGGTGCTGAATATATCATCTATAAGCTAAGTGACACTCAAAGCTAGTCTTTGATATTCAAATATGGCGAGCCCCAAATATTTTACAAGGGTGTGGGGCAATAAATATTATCAAGCATTAAAAACAAAAGTTAAATCTACTCTTCAATCAGCAGGCTGCGCGTGCACTTGCCTGTAAATGACTCGAGTTTGATTGATGTGTGATGTAACGGGCACTTGTCTCGTAGTACAAAGCTGTAAAAAAATATTTAATCTTTTGATGGAAGAGGTAGGTAAATTTTGGTGGCAAGCTAAGTGTTTGAAACAAACGTATCATTTAATCTTTTGATCTCGGATAATGGTGGCAACATTTGGTGATCTATTCACCTGCAGGTGAAGGAAAAAGAAAAAGAAAGCGGCCATAGCATTATGTATAAATTACGAGAGCAAAATTGTATAGGTCAAATAAATAGAAGAAATCCAGGAGCGAAGCCGCATTGTCGGCTCTACTTTGTTAGAATCCTTGTCGTTCTTTATATATATATATATATATATATATATATATATATATATATATATGATAGGAGTAGTGAAATGAGAAGTTCTCAGCACCCACTTCGTAAATAAACACCCACACTCATAAATACTGACAGAAGTAGATCAATAAGTCCGTAGGCTGAGATCGTAAGAAGCTAAATTTTCTCGTAAAATTTTCACTATAATGTCTGGCATTAAGTGCATTGACAAAAATGGGATATGCTGAAATATATATATTTCTTTTGTGTGGTTATATATATATATATATATATATATATATATATATATTAATGATATGTAAATTTACATTGAGCACTGTTTTGTAAAAAAAAAAAAAAATATCAATAAGAACACCGGATTACATATCTTACTGTTCTTTATATATATATATATATATATATATATATATATATATATATGTGTGTGTTGTGTATGTATGTATGTGTGTGTGTTTGTGTGTGTGTTTGTGTGTGTACCTATATATTGCACAGACAAGAAATTATAGTCTTCCGACACTGAGCGGTCATACTGAGCTACACAGTGCCAGAATTTAAGCAAATATTCTTAATGTGCCGCAAGACATAGATCTTTAAAATCATGGGTTCTCAGAACAAACACTTCCACTAATTTTAACGTAAAAAAGTAGTAACTACATCCATCACTAACATATATATATATATATATATATATATATATATATATATATATATATATATATATATATATACACACATCACTCACATACGTATATCACTTATATAGATGCAGCTGACCATGAGATCCGTCTTCACTTCTCAGCATGAACGATTTGTCAGTATGTGGGGGAGTGGTACGATTGGAAAGCGTCAAAGAGACATATCAAAGTTTGACTTAAACGTCGCGAGTGAAATTGGATAGGTGGAGCTGTTTGAAAGCCATCAAGGGTTATGCTAGCATGAAATCACAAGTCAGTGTGCCCGAGGTTCTGAGCGTACGTATTCAATCACGCTAAATGATGTGCATTCCCACAAAAACTGTAGCAAAGTCTTCTCCGTATAGATAGTCGCAGTATAATCCACAGAGGTTTGTAGTCGCTCTAGCAAACTGGCCGTTATACACACACACACATGTTTGTGTGTGTGTGTGTGTGTGTGGATGGATGATATATGCTCCCAGAAATCGGGTTGAGCTTTCTCTTGGGAAAAGAGGTTTTAAAAAACAGTGGCTCCTGCTTCTATTAAGCATTACTCTTCAAGTATGAATTGAGTTCTCCGAGCCGCTGGTATATTTCGTATAAAGAAAAACGTTAAAATTTCCTTCCTTTTGCCGTGCGACGATGCACTAAAGGTAAGATATCTGACTAATGTTAAATCAGTCAGGTTTCGATCCCGGCTTGAAGCTAGTCGGACGTCTAGCCACATCGAGGAGCTGTAATACAGCGAAACAGTCTGGCTGTGGATGACTATATATATATAAATATATCGTTCATAAATTTGTACAAAGGTATATTATAAGTCCCTATGGTACAACAATTCCGACCTACGACGATCTCCATTAATTTTTTTCCGACTTATGCCGTTTGCCTCGTACATACACAATACATTTTGTTTTATTTTATTATATTTATGTCCTCCATGTGTTTTTCTAGTTATAATTATGTTAACATATGTCATAGAAATGTGATTATTACTTTACTAGTAACTTAGTACAGCTGAGTGACATAAGTACCTATTCGCAGAGAATAGGTGTACGTTCGACTTACACGGAAAATCGCGTTACGACGCATCGTAAGAACGGAGCTGTCGTAAGTCGAGGACCACCTGTTTATAAAGCGGACAACAAAGTTAACACCAAGTGGTAAGTGTTTTTCATGTACAAACGCAATCTTTATATCAATATTGTTATAGTACTATAAATGATGCCTAAGTTCTATTGTAGATGATTGTTATGGAGTTATTTCGTAGTGGAGGCTTGTATTTGTAGTAAATCGGTCCTAAAATAGGTTCGACGTACAAACGTTAGGAACTTGGTATAATAGGTATTACGCAGAGTAATCTTGTTGTGGTCGCTGACTACTTTCGTATTCGACTAACTGTCGTCAGACATCGACGCTATTTAGTTACTCCCCCACGCGGTCACATGTGGCACAAGGACGAATTTAATGTGGGGTTCCCGAGCCTGTAGGCTCGGCCAAAAAATCCCCATAGACCCCGCATAAAGCAGATCGGGTCTGTCTACCTCCCCGGACGAAACTCTGCCCTTCGGCATAGCCTCGTCCGGGTTCCTCTCTGCCAGAAGGCAGAGAGTTCGACTGTCGTCCGACATCGACTCACCCTCGTTTCTCTTACTACTCCTACTTATGTTAGGTGGGAGAGTCTATTATCTATAGAATAAGTGTGTTTCACCATAACAATGATATATGTGCGTATGGAATATTTGGAGTGCGTGTGTCCGCGGTTATCATTAAAAATAATTTGAACGTCGTCCGATGCCATCATGTTCGCTTTCGCACAAATACCCTTGAGAAATGCATGGACCTCTTTTCATACCACAAGCTAGGGTAGAATGGGTTCTCTAGTCTTAGTTTGCAAGCAGTATAGGAGTCCTCAATGGAACCAACAACTCTGTGTTTATGACCAAGGCATGCCTTCAATTTGAAGGACGTCGACTGTGGTTTAACCTGGAAAGAGATGGATACCGCAAAGTCAATTTTCCTAAGACACGCCACGTATGAATGAATATCTCTCCGTTTGTCAAGCCTGAAGGAACTGGTCAGGTGCTCAGCTGCCCAGCGACCCTTCGACTAAACCTAGTCCTGGGACTGATCTTAAATCCTTTCCAGTTAAAAAAATGACTGCATTCTTGTGGAATCTAATACACGTTGACTATTTTATAATTAATGGTAACACTTCTTACGTATTGATAAGTGTATCTGCTGTCAGAAACAGAGGCTGATTTTAGAGTACTATCGCAACTGACACATTGATTGATGAATTTCCAATGGCTTGTTTTGCACGAAATTCTATTTCATAAGTACTATAACATGATTTTGTTATCGAAGAATTTACCAGTGATTACTTAGCATCCCCACAGAAGGAAACATATTTCTTGAAGTTTGAGATGTGTCTATGTAAACATAATTAGATGTCTTTATAAATCAAATCAGAAAAATAGGGTCAAATCATCCTTATTTTCTTCATATTCCATTTCTAAAAAGTACATTTAACTGCAGCAGCCTCTTCACTACTGCATGGAATAGACTCACGTGGGGATGCTTCCTCGATCGCTACAATCTTAATCTCTTCAAGTCTAAGGTCAATATTTATCGATGCTAAGTGTCCTCAATCTGCTAGTAATTCCTCCTCTTTCGTTCACACAAACACCTTATTCAGTAAGACTCTACCTTGAGTGACACTTAGGCCTAGTATTGGATGAACATTTAGTAAAAAAAAACAAAAAAAACAACTTTATTCTGATAGCAAAGAATTCTGGAATACGGAAAAATCTATTTGATTTTAAAGGACAGTTATACATTTTAGGTTGAATTATTAGTCATTTTCATTTCAGGGAACCAACTGTAATGAAGAATATATAATCTTAACAGTTCCTTAAATCTATCCTATCGTGTGATGAAAAATGGTTTACATACGAGAACATTCAACGCAAAAGGCAGTGGAATGAACAAGTTTTATGGCATGGTGTAATGTTTAGCAAGCTAGTCTCCAAATGTCTCATATTTTCACCCTTTTGCCAAATTTAAACTACGCCTAAATAATCTCCATAACCTTCCCCCGCAAAAGCTGGAAGAACGGTAATGCCGCGCATGTCATGGAATTGTCGGGGCGATATTCATTTCGAGTTCTTCAAACGTGCTGAAACATTAAATGCGCATTTACGAGTGAAGCAGATGCAACGTGTTCGTAAGTATTTGGTCGAAAGATTAACGTCAATACGAAACATGTTGCCTTTTCTATGACAACGCAAGATATCTTAGTAAACATCGGAAAAAAGAAATTAGAATTCGGTTGGTGTAGTCTACCCGACTCGCCATATTTACCTGACGTTTTACCAACGGGTTATAACTCTCTGAAATCACTGAATTACGCTTTGATGAGGGAAACGTTATCTCATGAAAATCAGACTGAAGTGTTTAGAAAACTTTTACACATCAAAGCTGCGGAATTTTTTACTGAAATGTTATCGACGAGCTGCGATCCATCGCTAAAAGATGCAGATAAACCAGTCAGCTCCCTGTAGAGCACCAGTAACTATCTAACCCCTCCTGCTATCCTCTACCTTTCCAAGAGCCAGATCATGCTGAAAATGCGGTATTGTTATCATATTTAAACGGGAGCTGCCCAGTCTTGAGTTCAAAAGAGTCTCCGAGTCCATGCTGGAGAAGAATTATTTTCTATCCTCCAACTTCTCTCTTTTTAACGAGTGTGTGAATGGATGATAGAAAATATAAAATAGGAATACCAATGGAATAGAGGTTACTTTGGGCAACAACAGAAAGGATGGTGTGGAGAGCGGTGAACGTTTACTAGCTGAATGGCTCGTGGTACATGAAAGAAGTACAACGAAAATAGATTTTTTTTTCCATCATTGATTTCAGACGTATTAAGGTGCTGTATATATTCGCGTTTCAATTGACTTACTGACCTGCCATTTTCCCCAACCTGTACGACTTTCGATAAAACACAAAGAAAAAAACACGTGCATATGCACGCACGCATTACAAGAAACTAATCAAATCGTCTCCCCTTACAGATAGCACACTTATTATCCTGCTTCACTTCCCACCATTTTGGATCCTGCCCCACTCCTCGGTTTTATACTCATCGGCAGGTTTCTCCAACTCCGTCTACCGGCGCTACTCCTACCAGAACATCCACCAGATGGCTTGGCAGACAGTCTGTCCGCGTACACACATACACAGACGGTAGTAGTAGCAACAGTGACCGCAATCATCGCTCTGCAGGGTGGGGTACAGAATGCATCCAATTTTTTCTTTGTCAGTAAGCACCCTTACTTCTCGTAAAAAAAAAAAATAAAAAATATGTATTAGGATACTATGCCAAATTAGTTTCCTTAACCCACTCTTAAAAACAAAAGATGACAGCTCGGTGTTAAATCTTATTTTATATTGAACCAAACCAAATCAGAAAAGTAACGAATTAGGGAGATATTCAAATAACATGAGTCTAAGGTGGTCAGAAATAATGTCACAGAAAAACTCACTTTTAATTTATTTCAGTAACCATGGGTAATACGCAACTATTTCAGCTCCGAAGAAAAGAGACATGATTATGACTGTATGTTTTTATTTTTTTAAATAAATTAAAAATAAATTAAAATTCTATTTGGTACTATTGCCTTGGGAAAAGGTATGAATCCTCTCCCCCACCGCCACCAGCTATTGTTTAAATAGCAAGCTAGATAATGTTCTATAGTCCTGAGAGAAAACTAGTCAAAAAGAAGGATAACTAAATTTCAAACCGGAGAGAAGGCAAAGAGAATTCACGAACAACACAATACACTATACGGCGCTCATAACTGTGTGTGTGTGTGTGTGTGTGTGCGAGAGAGAGAGAGAGAGAGAGAGAGAGAGAGAGAGAGAGAGAGAGAGACTAGCAAGACTTTAAATGAAATAAAATTAACCCAAACGCAGGGCAATTTTTTTTTAAATTCAGGTACAGGCATATACACCCTTAATATCACGTTTATTTTATCCTATAAAAAAAAATAAACTTTCAAGAGAATATTTAACTAGAAGATTCGGTAATAAACCAATCAACAGACACTTATATCATACTTAAGTGAAAAAGAATTATAAAAATTATATTTACACTTGTACGCATAAAACGAAAAAAAAATCTTATAAAATTGTCCTTACCCGTCATATTCTCTTTCTCTTTCCTCTCTCTCTCTCTTTTCTCTCTCTACATATATATATATATATAAAGAACAGTAAGATATATAATCCGGTGTTCTTATAGATATTTTTATTTTTACAAAATAGTGCTCAATGTAAATTTACAGAGCATTAATATTATAAATTAATTGATTTAGAATATGGCTACACAGTTCTGACGACATGCATTTAACGGATGTTAGATTTCATTGAAAAATACATCCCTACCCCCTACCAAAACGTAACTAATAACTGATACATTAAAATACAGACATAATGAACACGCAAACACCCCTTTTCTAGTGAAAGTGGATTCATCTGTAACCTTGGAAACGTGAATTATGATTTTAGCTGTGTCTTTAAAACCCAGTAATTTTAAAAGTTACTCCAAAATTCGCTTGAGGATGAAATGGAACTAATGTCTTTAATTTAAGTACAAAATTAAATTCGGGGCTTTTAGCTTCCATTTTTGAAACATGGTTAGAACTGTGTAGCGAAAAAAAACATATTTTAAATCAATTAATTTATATATATATATATATATATATATATATATATACATAAAATAGAAACATCACAGTTTGTCCGTAGCTTAATTAGTAAAATGTATATAGGTAACAAATATTTATTTTTCAACACAAATTCCTCCTTTAGCAATATATATATATACATATATATGTATATATATTTATAAAAAAATAAAAATAAAGGAGTCCTGTCGGAGGACGCATATTTTCTATGAAAATTTCTCGGACGTTCAGGCCGGTAAATGTTGTTAATACTGTTTATTATAAACAGAGGATTTACTTAAATATTTGTATCTATAAATAGAATGTATAAAGATAAAAAATGTCTTAAAATAATTGCCGTACTTTGTCCATTTCATAATATATGAGACAGTTGAAGCTATGAAGTCAATTCAACAAAATAAATAAGGAACAAGTAGTGCGGAGAAAAGGAGGTCGACTGTAGTCAATATGAATTCCACGAGCCTTTCCTTAGTTTCGTAGTATATGTTTCGCCAGGGCAACATACGGTTTTGAATTCAGAATAGTCTTTCTCCTAGACTGGTTGCCAAACAAGCCCTCAGAGCCAAGGCTGTCCTATTTAAATTATAGACAAGGGGAGATATGGATTCATATAATTCATCAGTAATTTTTCGGAAATAACTCCGCATTATTCAACTCCCACCCAAATTTATTAAGCTAAATATATGGAGGAACATTTTCAAATCGTGAAGGCTTTCATTACTTATTCCTTATGTATTCATTTTATATATATATATATATATATATATATATATATATATATATATATATATATATATATACACACACACACACACACACATATATATATATATATCTATATATATATATATATATATATATATATATATATATATATATATATCCTCAAGTATAGGATTGGTGCATACGGAATAAATTCCAATAAGCAAAATCTATTATTCTTAAAAGAGTGCTCATTACAGAGTAGAGCAAATATAATTTATTCGAAAATTATAACATAAATATGTCATAAAATCACTACAAAAATAGCCATTTTGTTTCAACCCTTCTGGCGTCTTATCAAGTGATGGTGTTGATCACTTATTTTATAACATATTTATGTTATAATTTTCGAATAAATTATGTATATAATAATAAAAGAAAGAAACATGGTAATTCCTTTGTAGCGGTGGAACGATATTTTTAAATCAGTTAATTTATAATATATGTCTCGAAAATTATAATATATATATATATATATATATATATATATATATATATACACATTGATAAGTAACTTCCTTTTTTATGTATAATGGACTCTGCTGTCTAAGTATAATTTTTGTAAGACGCGCACGCGCGTGCGTGTGTGTGTGTGTTAAGTGCAATAAATATTAGAACATCTTTTTATTTCAAAGCTTTAATTTTTAAATAACTACCGCATATATACAGGGAAGTTACATTCAGAAGAGAATACATTGAGCTCATTTGACTTGTGCGTGTGTGTCATGACTGCAATAAATATTTAATTTACAAGCAAAAAGTTACTGCTATCTTTGAATGAGTGTTATATTATTATATATATATATATATATATATATATATATATACAAGTAAAAGCTTGCAATATACTACAGAATTAAATCTATACTAGAGGGTGCGGCAGAAATACCTCCCACATATACCTACAATAAATACATCTTACTGTCTTGGTATATGTGAGACGGATTCCTGCCGCATCCTGTATTTACAATATGCTACAGAAAATTAAAAACTGTCAGCCTTATCATTAAAAATAACAACACACATAAAAAAATTAATTGCCACTTAAAAAAATGCGTCTCTTTTCATAAACAAATAACTACATCGGACACACGGCAACAAACCTCTCCCGGAGGATGGCAAACCACTGAAGTGATATCAGTATCATAAAAAAAAGACACCACAAACAACTGCCTGTCCCTTTTAGAAACATTCTGGTTGATAACACCTTTATTCAAAAGAAATCTGTTGACGGCGACTAAAAATGTTCCAGGCTCTTTATATAAAACAATTTAAACCAAGACTCAACCTTACTTTATTCGATAATAGTTCGAATGTGTTGGTGATATTCAGCTGCGTGCGGGGGTCACAAATACGACACCACAACATAAATTCATGGCCGCTCCTCTCGCGCAGCCTAAAATTAATATAACTATTGCACAACACACCTTAGAATGGCCTTCTCAACAATGCCTAATAAATTGGACGAAAGCGCATGTCACTGTAGCGGGCCGTGGGTTGTACGTATTGTAATATGAACATATAAAGAATTCCTGAAATTAAGTCCACTACAAAAATATGGCTGACACAAGATAAATCCACCCAAAAGAAATGTAAAATAAAATAAGAAAAAATATAAATATATATATATATATATATATATATATATATATATATATATATATATATATGTACAAACAAATATGTATTAAACAACAAAAGAAATTGCAAACAAAGATATTAACGTGTGTGTGTGGAAATTTCGTGTTTCGATGAATTTTGTATGTACGTGTGTGTATAATTTTCATAGCGTTTCCTACAAGAGGGAAGACGCAATCTTCTGCGAGAGCCTACATTGTCTTAGTGTCCGCTTCAAATGACCAGTGAAAAAAAGAGAGAACGAAGTATTCAAGTATTTATAGTTTAGGGGGTAGCGTCCCCTAGGAAACAATATGGACATTTAGGAAATTAAAGTAGAGTTAACTTCGACGCAGCAATAACTATTACGAACAGTCTCTACACTCCATTAATCCTTCCAAAAAGAAAAATATAAGTACTTGATAATATCTAAGATTTTTTCCTTGTCTCATATTCAGTGAAAAAAATGTTTAAAAGAATGTTTGCTGTCCGAATATATAATATTCTTTGTATTAGTACAGACGTTTCAAATAAAACCAATAAACAAATAGGAGTCTAATTGGCAGAAAACAAAATCCAAACGGTGTTACCCACAGACATTTTATTGTTTTTGTTGTAACGTCATCCACACTTGTATATATGTAAATATTGTGTATTCGGGATATTTTGGTGTCTATTTCCCTTGTATTTGATGAATTGAAATAGTTATTTTTTTCAGCATTTACACAGCTGGCCTGCTAAGGCAAAAGACGAAATATAGACCTAATAGTAAGGATTTAGCAAAATAGTAGTTGTAATATTCTAAGGCGCCTACATTTATAAATATAAGATATTGGAAGGATTTAGGTAAGGGCCGCTGCAAAGATCTTCTGGTCCCACTTCTCTACTACAGCTCAATTTTCATAAGGTATTATTCATATAAAATACCAATTTTATTGTAGCTGATGTACGATATCATAGACTTCTATACATATATACACGTGTCCCACGTAGAGAGTAATATATCACATATATCTACATAGCGATCAGAATGTAAGGAGAATCAAAAAGGAATAATATGGAGATACTCCTGTGTCTGGAGAAGCCATGTTTAGGACTCCAGATTCAACCGGATTAATTTACTATGTCCCAAGCGAGGGCATATTCCATGAAGGTGAAACGACTAGTCTTGAGGACCGTGAGCCGGAGGTTATTTCTAT